GGAGGGCCCAACCCCCAAGGGCCCTACCCCTACCAGCAGCAGCCACAGCAGTACCAGGTGCACACCCTGTGGCACACGCACACCCACTCGCCCGCACACCCACTCACCCGCACACCCACTCACACGCTCACCCACTCGCCCGCACACCCACTCGCCCGCACACCCACTCGCCCGCACACCCACTCGCCCGCACACCCACTCGCCCGCACACCCACTCGCCGCACACCCACTTGCCCGCACACCCGCTCAACCCGCACGCCCGCTCGCCCGCACACCCGCTCGCCCGCACACCCACTCGCCCGCACACTCACTCACCTGCTGCTGCCTCTTGCTTGAGGAAGACGCAGCCAGCGAAACTACTTTAGTCATGCAGTACCGAGGCTCTGTCCCGGCATGAGTGTTTGAAGCTTTGTAAATGAGAACAATGAAATGTTTTAATAGGCGTCTGGTCACATACGCCTCGAGTGATGTCATTGCGTTTGGAGTGACATCTTGAGTGGCCATAATGATGCACTTTAGCATAACTTTAATTAATATTTTTATTTCATTAACTGCAGTTGATGGGCCAAGTTTCTTAAACTGCCCCCCCTCTGTATACTCGGCAGCATCAATGGGTACACCGCAGTCGTACGACAGGTCACGTGTGGTGGGGTTTATGTGTGGGTATTCCAACTTCTTTTTAAGACATCTGGCCAGCTTGGAAGAGTAGGCCAAAATAACCTTCTAGATTGATTCTCCAGAGCTCCATCGTGCAGGGCCCTCTTCGGTCAGCGGCAGCTTAGGGCAAGCAATCGCACTTCCGCATCTTTATTTAAACATTTTAGCGATGCCACCTCCATTACATCGGACCACGTGAGCCCGCCTTTTGAGTAGAGACCATCTTTGGTTCCTCAGCATTGCGTGCGTTAGCCGTCCGCACCGAGGCGGAGAAACGCGGTTAACTGTGCGACATCCTTTTGCAGGAGGCGGTGAGCCAGCCGCAGTCTCTGCCGGCCGCGCCAGCGCCTGGCGTGCTGTCCTACCCGTCGGCCTCAGTGGGCTATGCGCCGTACGGCATGCAGGTACGGCGGGGGCGGCTTCACCGTGGCTGCAAACGTGTAGCCACCCTCTCCCCGTCATTGGGAGCCGCGTCTCGTTTCTGCCATGTGTACCTCTTGCCACAGCTGTTTGTCCTCGTGCGCCAGTCGCTTATTTGCACTGACTTCCAAATTAATTTGCTTTGAGCCATTAGATAGATCCCCACTCGAAATGTACACATCACCGGTCTCTGCTTTGTCCTGATGAATCTCCAGGGATTATGACTTTCAGACTAGTGGCTTAACAGCTGTGTTACAGAGCAAATGATCAGCTCTGTTAACCATGGGGAATGTATTCTGGGTTGCTGATGTAAGTATTAATTGTTTATTTTTGTATGCCATTTACATTGTGTAAATCAGTGGCTACTCCAAAGCTTCATAAATGAGGGTGTTTATTTAATAACAATTGCGGTCGTCGTGGATTAATGGAACGGTTGCCGTTGTTGTGATCGTCCACAGGGGATGGGGGTGGCACTGCCCGGGCAGGAGCAAGTGCAGGGGCAGCAGGGAGGCTTCCCGCAAGGGCAGGCACCGCCCGCCCAGCCCGGCTACCAGCAGCCCACCTACCAACCCGTACGCCCCTTGCCCACACAACAACAACCGCCATTCGCCACTCAGTGGTGGTGACGTCACCACGGCGCTATGTGCACGTTGAGGCTACACACCCACACCGATGCAAACGCACACCTGCATGTCCACTCGCTTATTAATGCACCCTGTGTAGGTTTTCACGGTCGTGCCGTGTGGCTCTCGGATGTGTTTCCGGGGTTGTGCCGCGTTTTGTTCCACATGTTGGGTGCTTCCTCAGGAATTTAATTGAGCTCGAGCATCATACAGATGCATCTGCGGTCATGTGCCTGTACACAAGTACACAACTGCGCAACCAACCATGTACCTAGCTCCCAACTGGGGTTGTAAATGTACGTATGTTGAACTTCTTTCGCACCGTACATAGCCAACCGTGCTAATTGGAGGTGTGGGGGAAGTACAACAAACGAAATGCAAAAAGCTGTTCTCAATACATAATCGGCTATCTATTCAAAAAGTCGTGGAATCAATGCTCGCATTCAGTTCGGGCCACTACTGGATGACAGCTTCGTCAGGCCAGGTTGGTCATTGGGCCATTCTTCACACTGGTCAGTGCGGGTTGGTCAACGTTAACACGCGGTTATCGACGCTGCTAAATATCCAAAATGAACAAAACTAGTCCCCTTCTTTGTTCTTTCGGTAAAGTCACGTAGAAGGGAAGTAATAAAATAATACAAATAAAACATAATAAAATAATTCTCACGACGTTTCGGCCACAATGCAAGCAGCCGTCCTCAGGTGAAGACCAGGTCTGTCGGGGAGACAGCGTCTGAATGAAACACCACCACGCTTGGAGCGTATATTTAAGCTGGGTTGGACAGACCTGCTCTTCACCTGAGGACGGCTGCTTGCGTTGTGGGCGAAACGTTGTGAGAATTATTTTATTATGTTTTACTTTTATTATTTTATTACTTCCCTTCTACGTGACTTTACCAAAAGAACCAAGAAGATGAATCCCTGCAGTCACGAAAGCTTTAAATCGAAAGACTAGTCCCATTTGAGCGTGAGACGGGTCGAGGCATCGTCACAACCATCGCCACCTTCTCGTTGCTGTGAACGACAGTGGATTTTATCGTTTATGCGTGTGTCATGCAGGCACCCCAGCAACCATTGGCAGCACCAGGCCCCGCGTCCGTCGCTCAGCTTATCTCCTTTGACTAGGACGACACAGTCATCTCCCGCCCACTCTTTCCCTTTCACACTACATCCCTCTTCTCCTGCTGTGGACTGCTTTCTCTCACCCTTTCTCGCCCCCCCCCACCAACCTCATCACCTTTCTCTGCCTGTTGCTGCTGCTTGTCCTGTTCCTATCTGAGCTTCTCGTGTAGCTCGATCTGCTCCTCTTCATCCTCAACCCCTGCTCGTCCCTCGCTGCTCACCCTCCATGGACTTCTTCTGTCAAGGGCTCGCTCGGCAGCAATGCTCACCGCCGACGCCCCTCTACAGTTGCAGGCCGGATCAGTAGCGCCTGGCTCCACGGTAATGACACCTGGAGGAATTCTTCAGCTCGAGACGCCACGCCGCGCGTGTCTGAAGTGGGCCGGAGAGAGGCGGTGAGAAACAGTTGTAGCGAGAGTCACTTTTAAATTGAACGAGCGTCGAGCTGGCACCTTTTTGCCTGGGGGGGTGGTCGTTGATTCGCTGACGATTGATGCCCTTGTGCTGTTGGCGAGTGGCGTTCGGCCAGTTTGTTGTGTTGCTAAACCTTCTCAAGTCTGCTTCCAGGAACGTGTAATCTTCTGGGTCTGGTTTAAATGGTGTCCCTGTGCACTGTGCTGGTTTGGAGTAAAGTTTTGCGTGTAACCGCTGCCAGTATCGCATTTTAACTAGTTTTGCCTGAGACAGCAGCGTGATTCACCTGCGAAAAGAGTTGTCAATGCGCCAATGGCAGAGGTGGCGGGCACGAGGTTTGCGAGGCTAGGGAGTCTCGCACACAGAGCAGCGAGGTTTCTCCTACGCTCCCGTCGATTGGCGAGCGATGTATGCAGCGCCGTGCTTGCCGCTGGCCAGGCACCGATCCACGGGGCTGTCATCTTCATTTTCAACCCCTGCATCCTTTTATCTCTTCCCCGTCCATCGCTCGCTAAGTTGGTAATGGATCGTGACCCCCTGCTGCACCAGCGGTGTCCCCCCACAGCTGTTTGGGTGGGTGGCACGCTGTGTTTGAATCTCTTAATATTTTTGTCGAAGTAAACGCTCGGAGTTTCCGCGATGACCGCAAGACACGGCCGTCTGCCAACGTGCACCGCGTCCAATATCGGCCGCACCCCCCCCCCCCCCCGACGGTGTTGCCATTCGCAATTTTCCGTGCACGATCATGAACGGTGTTGGTAAATTTAAGAAACGTATAAAGTAAATAAGCTTAAGGTTAAGGTAGTAAGCGTGTGTTCGTCGCAGAGGGACACGGGCGTGTCAAGCCATTGAGGCTCATTCCTCCATTAACCTTTCCTTTTAACGAATAAATATGAAACAAATGAGGTTTTTGAACTGAAATGACTTACCGTGATTTCTGGCGTGGCCTAGTCATGCGTGTGCATCCTTGTCATTGGTAACGCTGCCTGTAAATATGAAGCGTACTCTGAAGCCTCGCAGTCCAGGGCCTCAGCTGCAGCCTGGTCAGGTGAAGTCTGGAACCCATCGATGGGGCCTCGGGACTGCTCCTGCTCCTATATATTCAGCCTTTTCCCCCCTAGCTTCAATTATTCAAAACAAAGGTGCAGTCCTGCAATTACTTGCTCATGTCACTGCTGGCAGAAGAGCTTCCATTAGAGCCCTTTCTAGAGGATGTCTTGGGATTCGGTGGGTATGTACCCACACTGATTTTTTTATTGGTTCAATGTGAATTTGCTTAAAAGAACCGCACAATTTGTTGAAAATGCTTCTTATAATTTATTCCCAACATTCTGACGAAGCCCATGACAATGGCACCATCTTGAACGCAAAACTCTTGATTTCCCCCAATGTGTCTGCTGTAACGGTCGCGTTGTCCACCACGACGTCACCACGCCGAATAGGTGACGTCCTGTGGCGGTGACTGCACACGTAAAGCTTTCGAGTCGTGTGGACCGTGGCTGAAATTCCAACATCACAGCAGTCCACATTGGAGGTTGATATACGAGGGTTGAATAACACCGATGCTGCGCCCATTCTGAAGGTTTTTCCGAATGTGATACAGAAGCTTATAGATATAGAAGGGGAAAACCTCTGATCTAGCAACATCGTGGCAGAGGGGTGGTGAATTTAGAATAACCAGTGCACAATGCCGTTGCCCGCCAGTCTGTGTGGCTGCGTGTAAGAGCCTTGTCCTGCAATAAAGTCGACTATAAACACTTGCTGGTCCATTTCATTTTTATTTTAAACGTTGCCCGGGTCACCAATGGCTGCACAAAAACACAACATGCGGGTCCACATTAATAATTAATTATCGATGTCTCCGTCATGTAAACAATAATACTGGCCGCAGAGCGGGGTTGAACAGTGCTGCTGCCCTTGCCTCTTTGGACCAGAGGTCAATGCAAGGGGTGTCAGAAGTAGCTCTGTGGTATCCAATTCCGTGGGCCATTCAACATGAAAACGAAAGGTTGCACTGCTTTGCGAGTGATTGGAATATTTAAGGCTCACGACACCGATCGAAAACGAGATAAAATTACATTTTATCTAAAGCTGTGCTTGTTTGCAAAAAAATGATTAGCAAAACACAAATGAGGGACTCCTGAATTAGCTTGTCATCCAACTGCCATCTCTACCCTGTCTTCTGGAAGACCAGGCACTTGTTGTTGGCTGGCATTTCCACCTGAATGGAATGGGGTAAGAAAAAGTTAAAGCACATTTTTTTAAACGTACCTCGTTCGTACTGGTCAGTGCACACACCATATCTGATGTATGTAACCTATATTCACATTCTAATGTTACATTTCAGATGGAGCAAACACATGAACACGTACAAACTGGGGGGGGGGGGGGGGGGGGGGGGGGGGGGGGTGGGGGTGGGAGAAAATAATACAGATTTAAAAAGATAGAAAATATGCTTTTGAAATTGAATCGGAGCCACGAATTGCAACAATTGATCAAACTTCCCAAGGTACAAGGGGTGGGGTGAGTAGCTGAACCCGGACTCACCATCCTCTGGAGACGCATGCCATTGGTGAGCGCCAGCTGCTGGAGCATGCTGACATCCCGCAGTCCCCACTCCGGGTTCCTGGCAAGACAACCACAGGGACTCACACTCCTCGCCTGGCTCTCATGCCGTCAACACCCATCTACCCACCCCGCCAGCAATGTGGCCAGCATGGAGCTAGCTCTGAACACAAGCGCCATGACCAGCTAGAAGACCCCATGGGGCAACCACCAAGCCCATCGCTACCACCTCCAAACGCATCACTCGCATGGATTGGTTAACTATGGGAAAGGCCTATAAACTTCAGCAAATGAGGCTGCTAATCACGATGCAGTGGAATGTTTGACATTAGTTATTGAATAAAATATCTGAACATTGTCATTTAAAGCCACTGCTAGATGAAGCCATTGCCACAATAGGTGTATTATGGTTGTTTGCCCATCTTCACACGACTGGGGCCAGTGCTGGATTGACTGAGGGAGGCACAGGACCGGTTCTGATATCACCACCGATTTTAGCCATGGCCTGGAATGGAGCTCGGGTCGACCGCTGTGCCATCAGTCCACTCGTCAATTGAATAGTGGAGTACAATTTTAACCCCATTTTTTTAAAAAGGTCCATTCTGCATAAATAAATAAAATGTTATATTCAATGTAGCACAGCCTTGACGTGGCCAAGAGCCGATCATAGACGGTATATACCGGATAGGAGCACCTATACCAGTCACGTACTCGGCCAGAGGCAAGACAATGTGCTCCCTTATCAATCACCGACCAGCATGGTGAAGTACGGTCAAACAACAACCCTGGTACCCAGGAAGCTCTGAGAACCCACCAGCCATAGCGTTGGTTAGGATGTTGATGGAGCAGAGGGCACTAAAAATCACTGGGTACGAACACGACGCCGCAAGAATTTGACTGCCGCGAGATGCAACGCACGGTGGGCTCTGCTGGGTGAATGAAAGCTTTGCTGAACCGGAAGCAGAATTGTTAGAAATAAAGTGCGACGGAGCGGGACTCGGTGAGGAAATGCGGGGCTCACCTCTCGCGCAAGTCGGCGTCAAAATCCACGTTGCTTTGCGGGAAGATGATCCCGTTCACTGCGTAAGGCTGTGTGAGGAGGAGTTAAAACAGCCGTTATCACCTCTATTTTGATTAACCCGATGAGAACTCAGGCTGCATGAGGAGTGAAACAGCTGTTAGTTTATTTTTGTTTAACCTGATAACTCAAGCGATCTGGATAAGTCTCGTTTGCACGGGTGACCTGTGGCATTCGCCTGCCAATAGAGCAATGACTGCTAGATATAATCCCAATTTGAGTAATTTGCCGGTCATTTTCTGATTTGTCCCGTGCAGCAAGCACGTGGCCATACTCTTTTTTCGAACAACGTCACGGGATCTTTGCCTTCCACTGTGAAGCAGACGGTGGCACATGTATATACACCCGCAGTATTAACCAGGGTGGCTGTATGGGGGGAGGGGGTTTAAATGATAAACCTCTGCAACAAAAACAGCAAATGTGGTAGCGCTCGGTCACACTCGGTAGTGAACTTACCCCATACGTCACCAAGAAGCCACTGGGTTTGAGCAGAACACCAGCATTTCTGAACAGACCCTGGAGGACACACGAAGACAAATATTCCCCATGTATTCTACACGGACTGTTAAGGCAAGTGCTGCTGGAGAACAACAAAGGTGGGCACGGCACACGGGGGAGGTGGTGTGGCCAGCACCGCACACGTACATGCACACACGCGCTTGCATGCATGGCACGCGCAATACGCACATACACGCTTGTGCGTGCGTGCGTGCACATATACACATGCATGCACACAAAGTTTACTTCCTTTAAACAAATGAGAACTCACGCAACCAGGATACAGTCTCATTTGCAAGTTGACCTGCGTTGTAAAAATGACAAAAGCTAAAATAAAATAAACTCCAGCTTGGAAACAAATAGAAATCGGAGAAATAACTTTCACATGATAAATGGAAAATATTGCACGCACGTAAATCTTAAGTTAAGTAATAAGTTGAAACATAAGTTGGCTCGGGCAGATTATTTACTGACTGATCACTGTAGAATTACTCAAAAAGACCCCCCCCCCCCACCCCCCCCCCCCCTATAAGGTCTTTAACAGACTGTTGAGGGCAAGTGCTGTTAGCTAGCACCTACGGAGCCCGGCACGGTGCACGAGCGAGTAATGCAGCTAAGACCACGGCCGGCAGCCTTTGTCTCCCCAGTGCCGATGCATACACAAAGGACCAGGCACTTCGTTCAAGGCCGAGTAGATCCAGGGGAGGCCTAGGACCACTGATGTTGGCCATAAGCGACAGCCATATATATACGTAGTCATGGACACATTCATCAATACACACACAATCAGAGCAGTGAGCAGGGTGGACATTTCAAAACTAAACACGACCTCCAGGCACAGGGCAATTAAAATGCAAGTCACGCAAACGACGAGCTGCTCTTTTGGTCAAACGTAGAGTCGCCATGACCTGGCAATGCTGCGATGTATCTTACAATATAAGTTCCATGATGATAATACTATCCTCCGTTTTAATGACCGTAGTCATATGGTGATTATGTTTGCACATATTTTGTTCTAAAACATCACATTTCCTGCCGAAATGTTTATGAAATAACAAATCCAATGATTCATGAATCAAACATATTCTATTATCCATTAAATTAATGCTGTGTAATATGTTTTCATGGGTATATGACGTGGCGATTCTATTATGCAATCAAATTCCGTGGTTAATTTACTTATTTTATTACTTTCCGTGTAACTGGCAGCATGTGTTTTCAGCATTATGGCAGGCTTAAGTTGAGTGAACTGTAGTTGAATAACTATTGTGCAATCTTTATTTGCAGAGAGACTAAAACTAATTTTTAAAAAGGTGCAATATAAATGTGAAACGCAATCACGAAGCTACGTAAAAACTGATATTGCGAAAATCGTTATCGCAAAATGTTATGTGGTATTGTCATCCGTCTGCCACGTTCAATGCATAGTTGGATCAAGGCTTCCTTCCCTGCGATGTGCCACCCAGTATCTGCACTCATCGTAAAAAAGAGCACACTGCCTTGCCGGACGCAAATAAGCTTGAGTGTCTTACAGATCTGAATACCTATGTATTTATTTGAACTTCACGCTTGTTTACCCAGGAGCGTATAACTTGAGTATGAAGACTTTTTCAGGAAGGCCCTGCCAAGTTTCGCACAGTAGAGAACGATGCTATCATTATGTGCAATTGAGTAATTATCCGGTAATTTTGTTAAATTTGCTGGTATTTTTAAGCGTTCAAATGTTTGACCAATTAAAGCAACATTATGGGAGTGGGGGGGGTGTCAGCTTTGGGAGAAACCCAAAATACCCGGAGGAAACCCATGCAGAACAACAGGGTGAGAACATCCAAACACTGGGAAACTAACTCGAGCTCTTCTTGTTGCGAGGCACAAGTGTTTCACCACTCGCTTCACGCCACCACCCACACATACTGGTTAGGGGTCACCCCATTACACCAGTCACGTGTTCAGGCGAGAGGTGAGAGAAAGACCATTGCTGCCGCCTCCCTCGATTCCACCCCACCCATAGAATAACCCCCGAAAACCACTCCCTGGGGGATAGGTGGGGGTGGGCATGGCCTCGCCTCTGTGCAGCGCATCTCGCTGATGTGGATCATGTTGACGTTGAGGAGAAGGTCGCAGGAGGACGAGGGCCAGCGGCCGGGCCAGGTCTCGCACGGCTCCCGCACGTCCACCTGTATAGGGGGCAGCACGTTCTGTACCTGCGTTGCCCTCGCGTACGCCGAGATGCTGTGCCGGGAGGGGGTGGTGGTGGTGGGGGGTGGGTACAGGGGGGTAGAGGCACAGGTGAGGAGGTGGTCACATGCATCAACATGGGAACTCATTAACTGAGGGTCCAATGTGTAGCCTATGGGTTAGGACAGGGGTGGGGAACCTTTTTTCTGACAAGGGCCATTTGGATATTTCTAACATCATTCGCGAGACATACAAAATTATCAACTTAAAAATTAGCCCGTTATATTTGGTCAAACATTTAATTAAATCACCCCTAATGTGATGGCTGGAACTGCTTCTCTTTGGCAAGGCGTGTGATGTTAGCTGGTATTGATGATGTTGCTACTCGCAACTGCTTTTCCATGTTTGCTCCTAGATTTATTGAATTTCGAGTCCCGCCTGCGGTTGCCTTGGCAGGGCCACACCAAATGATTTCACGGGCCGTGATCTTGACCAATATTAGGGTTATGGTGGGTCATGATCATGGTTAGGGGATGAGGTTCAGATTTTTCGCTCGGGTTAGGGGTTATGGCCACCTGAAGACGATTGCTTGTGTGGCGATCGAAACGTTGTGATCTATTATTTTTTCTACCCACGTGACTTTACCGATAGAACCAAAGCGTATGAATTCCTGCAGTAACGAAAGCTTAAAATAAAGATTAATTACGAGGGTCAAGGTTATTGTTGATGTGAGCGTTATGGATATGGTTAGGGTTGTAGATAGGGGTAAGGAAAGGGGTGGGTGGGGCTATTTGACCATACTTTACCACGCTGATCAGTGCAGGTTGTTGATGAAAAACACAAATGTAAATTCGCGAGTTTAGTTTTTGTACCACTGAGCGATGCAGCTCCTTTTCAGAAACGGCCCCAGCCACACACGAATGCTCAGCGAAGTGGCTTATCTATCGTGTGGACATTTATAGCAGCCGAATTACTCGAAAGCAGGAGGAGTTCGCAACCTGTGGCTCTTTAAGGACTGCTTAGTGACGTTCATTTATTAAGGATAGTCTCCGTATTTCCGTGCATTGGGGCTGTTGAAATATTTCGGGGTTTTTATGGTTAACCAAATTATAAAACACGGCTCCAAACTCGTGACGTTGATTCTAAATTCGGAGGGGGAAAGTCATAAAAAAATCCACGCGACCAAGAGGAGAGAGACGTCCAACAGGGAGCAAGGTCGGGATCGAGCCCACGACCTCCTGTATACCTGGCGAGGTAGTTAACATCTCATAGCCACCGTGATAATGATGATAATGAAACGCAAACTCCAAATACACAGCAGCAGGGTCGGGATCGCACCCACGACCTCCTGTATACCAGGTGGGGTAGTTAACATCTCAAAGCCACCGTGATGATGATGAGACGCAAACTCTAAATACACAGCAGCAGGCGTCGGGATCGAGCCCACGACCTCCTGTATACCTCGCGAGGTAGTTAACATCTCATAGCCACCGTGATGATACCAGGCGAGGTAGTGAACATCTCATAGCCACCGTGATGATACCAGGCGAGGTAGTGAACATCTCATAGCCACCGTGATGATACCAGGCGAGGTAGTTAACATCTCATAGCCACCGTGATGATACCAGGCGAGGTAGTTAACATCTCATAGCCACCGTGATGATACCAGGCGAGGTAGTTAACATCTCATAGCCACCGTGATGATACCAGGCGAGGTAGTTAACATCTCATAGCCACCGTGATGATACCAGGCGAGGTAGTTAACATCTCATAGCCACCGTGATGATACCAGGCGAGGTAGTTAACATCTCATAGCCACCGTGATGATACCAGGCGAGGTAGTTAACATCTCATAGCCACCGTGATGATACCAGGCGAGGTAGTTAACATCTCATAGCCACCGTGATGATACCAGGCGAGGTAGTTAACATCTCATAGCCACCGTGACAGCCCACGATGTCGATGAGATGTGGCCACCCGTTGTGCCCATCGACGTGCCTCAGACCTTTGGAAGGAGGCCGCCTCCAGCTCGCTGGGCTGCCACGTGAGGTGCGGGAAGGCCCGGGCGAGGTGCACCACATGCTGCCCGGAGCCCGAGGCCACCTCCAGCGCAAACCCGGCCCGGTCTGCCGGCACCCACTGCCGCAGCACCTCGAGTATCGGCTCCTTGTTGCGCTCGGCAGCCGGCGCCACCAACATTGCGAGGCCGCTTTGCTCCCACGCCCTGGGGATAGAGACAGATTCAAGGAGTTGAAGAACAGGTTTTAGCAAGGCGGTGAGAGAGGCTAAACGACTGTACTCAGAGAGACTAAAACACCAGTTCTCTGCTAACGACTCTGCTTCTGTCTGGAGAGGGCTCAGGCAGATCACCAACTACAAGCCCAGAGCCCCCCACACCACTAACGACTCCCGCCTAGCCAACGACCTGAACGAGTTCTACTGCAGATTTGAAAGACAATTGGACTGTCCTGAACTACCCCTTCCCACCCAAGAGGCCCCTATCCCACCCCACACTACAGAGACAACTATCTCCATTCAGGAGGGAGAAGTTAAAAAACTTTTCAAGAGGCAGAACCCACACAAAGCAGCTGGGCCGGACTCTGTCTCTCCAGCCACCCTCAGGCACTGCGCGGACCAGCTGTCTCCAGTGTTCACCAACATCTTTACCACCTCCATGGAGACATGTCATGTACCAGCCTGTCTCAAGTACTCCATCATCATTCCAGTGCCCAAAAAGCCAAGGCCAACAGGATTAAATGATTACAGACCCATCGCCCTTACCTCCGTGGTAATGAAGTCTTTTGAGCGCCTGGTCCTGGCACACCTCAAAGCCATCACAGACCCTCTACTGGACCCCCTTCAGTTTGCCTACAGAGCCAACAGGTCTGTGGATGACGCAGTTAACATGGCCCTCCACTTCACCCTACAGCATCTGGATTCCACAGCATCCTACGCCAGGATCCTGTTTGTGGACTTTAGCTCGGCTTTTAACACCATCATTCCTAGCCTGCTTCAGGACAAGCTCTCCCTGCTGAACGTGCCAGACTCCACCTGCAGATGGATCACAGACTTCCTGTCTGACAGGAAGCAGTGTGTCAAACTGGGATCACAAGTTTCTGCCGCCAGGTCAATCAGCACCGGATCTCCTCAGGGCTGCGTCCTTTCCCCTCTGCTCTTCACCCTGTACACCAACAGCTGCACCTCCAGTCACCCGTCTGTCAAACTCTTGAAGTTTGCGGATGACACCACCCTCATTGGGCTAATCTCTGATGGGGATGAGTCTGACTATAGGAGGGAAGCTGACAACCTGGTGACCTGGTGTAGCCAGAACAACCTGGAGCTTAATGCTCTTAAGACCGTGGAGATGGTTGTGGACTTCAGGAAGAATACAGCCCCACTCACCCCCATCACCCTGTGCGACTCCCCAGTCACCAATGTTGAGTCCTTCCGCTTCCTGGGCACTATTCTTTCCCAGGACCTCAAGTGGGAACTGAACATCAGCTCCCTTATCAAGAGAGCTCAACAGAGAATGTACTTCCTACGGCAGCTGAAGCAATTTAATCTGCCAAAGACAATGATGGTGTGCTTCTATACAGCTATCATTCAGTCCATCCTCACCTCCTCCATCACCGTCTGGTACGCTGCTGCCACTGCCAAGGACAAGAGCAGACTGCAGCGTATCATCCGCACTGCTGAGAAGGTGATTGGCTGTAATCTACCAACCCTTGAGGACCTGCACACTTTGAGGACCCTGAAGCGAGCGAGGAAGATTGCGGACGATTCCTCGCACCCTGGACAATCTCTGTTCCAGCTACTCCCCTCCGGCAGAAGGCTGCGGTCCATCAAGACCAAAACCTCACGTCATAAAAACAGTTTTTTCCCATCCGCTGTTGGCCTCCTCAACAAGGCCAAGGGCTTAAAATGACTTTTACACTTAAAATGACTGTTACACTTACTATAACATTTTATCTACATAATTACACCTTTCCATACTTACGTGTAATCTTATTTGTATTTTTGTATTTTAAGATTGTTTAATACGGCTAATTAACATTTTACATTCGCATTTTATAAGGTCTACTTATTCATAATTTTAAAGATTTTAGCCCTTTGGTATTACTTATACTTTGTAACATTAGTATAGTTAGAGTGTATAACTTTTATATAAGTTAAGATTCCTACTTGTTCAATGTATGCACCGTCCCGCCATAGTGAATTCCTTGTTTGTGCAAACTTACATGGCGATTAAAACCGTTTCTGATTTCTGATTTCTGCCGGGAACCCGCTTCACGGCGGCAGTGGGAACGGCCGCGGCGGTGACTCGAGCGGCCGTGGAAGCGACGGCGACGGCGGCGCCGAAAATCAACAGCCGATGGCTGCTGCTGCTGCTGTTGTTGTTGTTGTTGCTGCTCAATGCGAAATCGCGTTTCTCCTCGCCGCTCGCCGTAGCCGGCGCGTCACGTGGCAGTGCCCCCACCCCCCACCCCCCCCCAACCCCCCATGCGCCGTGACGTCGTGGCGCGCGAACGTGACGTCATTGCGCGCGCGGCCGTAACGACTTCGCTGCGGGCGCTGCCATGACGTAACAAAATCGCTCGCGCGCGCTGCCATGACGTAACCACTTCGCTCGCGCGCGCTGCCATGACGTAACGACTTCGCTCGCGCGCGCTGCCATGACGTAACGACTTCGCTCGCGCGCGCTGCCATGACGTAACTACTTCGCTCGCGCGCGCTGCCATGACGTAACGACGCGCGCGCTGCCATGACGTAACGACAACGCTGCGGGCGCTGCCATGACGTAACGACAACGCTGCGGGCGCTGCCATGACGTAACCACTTCGCTCGCGCGCGCTGCCATGAGGTTGCGACTTCGCGCGCGAGACATGATGTCACTGGCCGCTCGCGCTGCCATGACTTCACGACTTCGCGCGCGCGACATGACATCACGTCCCGCCTCGCCCAACAGAGGGCGGCGCGCTTCGCTCTCCTCCCGCCCCTCCCTGAGCAACGTGGCCGCCGGTCGAGTCGCGCGGCGCGGTGCCGTGCGGTCACTCCGCCCAGCGAGCCAGGCCCCCCCCCCCTCCTCCCCGGCTGCCACCCTCCCAACACCGCCACCACCACCATCATCACCGCCACCTCCGTCGCCTCATCGCTAACGCTCATCACCGCCAACACCAACACCGCCAACACCAACATCACCCCCCCCCACCACCCCCATCACCGCATCGTCGCCATGGCCAGCACGAACAAGCCGGCCGCGGCGGCGCACGGGCCGTGCGTGCTGTGCTGCCAGGAGGTGGACGTGTTCGCGTTGGGCAAGTGTGACCACCCCGTGTGCTTCCTGTGCTCCACCAAGATGCGGGTGCTCAGCGAGCAACCCTACTGCGCCGTGTGCCGCCTCGAGCTCGCAGAGGTGACGACCCTTACACTCGCCTTGTCCCCCCCCACCACCACCACGGCCTTCACCCACCCACCCAAGTCGGGCCCATGCGCCCGTCCCAGTCGGGCCCATGCGCGTTCTCTAGCCGAGGCCGTGGTTCATGTCTGGCCTTGTCGATTCGGCGTAACCACTGCCTTGGTCGCTTGTCCACTCCCCATTTGCTGCCTTGCCCACACACACACACGGTGCCCCCCACACACTGCCCGATCTTACCCATTGCCTTCGTTTGACCACCCACAACCTCCCCCGCTGGGAGCTCGCACCCTCCCGACCACGTTCCCTTCCAGAGGCGCTGGTTCCTGTCTGGCCTTGCCCGGGGCCCAGCCTCGGTTTGTTGACCGATCGCGCCTCTCTCTCCCATACACCCCACGGCCCTCTCCCTGCGGCACCCCGTATGCCTCCCCTAGGCCGGACAGCCCTGGCCGATCTCGGCTGGGCCACCTTCAAAATCTGCGGCGTCTTCCACCTGGCCCAGGCGGCTGGCTGGCTGGGTGGGCAGCAACCCAGTCAGATCCAGAGTCTTTTTGCTCGGCCCCCCCCCCCCCTCGAACCCAACCAGGTCCACAGTGCACATCGGGTGCCAATCGTTCAGGTGAAGGTGGTTGCCGATGATAGTTCGCGTCTCTTGGCCTGTAATCGGACTAATTGCGTAACCCCGCGTGGCGACGTTGAACGATTACAGCGGCCTAACTTGAATGGTGGGGAGGCTCACTTTGATGAGACACGGGTAATTGAGCCATCATTTATCACAGGGGTGGTGGGGAACGTCTGGCCCTGCGGGGCCGTATGAGACCCACGAAATCATTTGGTGTGGCCCTGCCAAGACAACCGCAGGCGGGACTCGAAATTCAATACATCTCGGAGCAAACCTGGCAAAGCAGTTGCTAGTAGCTGCAACATCATCAATACCAGCTAACACCACACGCCTCGCCAAAGAGAAGCAGTTCCAGCCATCGCATTAGGGGTGGGTTAATTAAATGTTTGACCAAATATGACAGGCTAATTTTTAAGTTGATAATTTTGTATGGCCCGCGAATGATGTTGTAAATATCCAAATGGCCCTTGGCAGATAAAAGGTTCCCCCACCCCTTTATCACTAAGGCGTTCATGGCCTTGAACCATCATAAAGTTAGTGTACACTCTAGATTCGAAGTTTAGTGTACACTGTACAGGTATTAGTTGACTCACCCATCGGCCATAACACTTGCCCCTCCCCCAAGCGGTCACCAATCTCTCACGGTTACCTGTGATGTGAGGTGAGCGAGCAAGCCGCCCTGTACGCGGGCAGATTTCGTTGCTACATCTCAGTGGTGAGCGACTTTCTGATTTCAAGTTCATTTATTAGGTATAGCCCTGTGAGCCATTCGGCTCTTGAATCGGGTGCAACCGCAACAAACAAAAAACAAAAACATGAACAAGAATACATCTTAAAGTGACTATGTGCAAACAGAAAATCCAAGAAAAGACTGATGCGTTCACCGTGCACTCTGCCGAATCTGTCGTTCGTCTCCCACATCGGTCAACATTCTAACCAAGGCGCGGCCACCCACTGACGTATCTTAACGTTTACATTTGCCTTGATTAAATATGTCCTCACTTCCAACACGTGTTCTTCTTGTCCGTTTCATCACGAGCACCTCCCGAGAGATTAGGTTTCGTCTTCGTCGACGTCAATATTTCTGATACGTATAATGTCACACTGTGGTGGTCAATGTTGATTTAGTCGGCATGAAAAAATGTAGACCGACAGGTAGTCGTTTAGACAAACTCTAAGCAACATATGCCAATGCACAGATGCCTTGCAACCATTGGTGGAAGTTCCACATTCCCACGGCGGGCTGCAGTATATCCATCAAAGGACATCAACAGCCACGATTATTCCACAGCTGGAAGAAGGGCTTCCCAAGCCATTAACTCTTCACACAAATTGTGATTTACGCAGACGGACTACGAACGTCAGTTTGTTATTGGCCAGGAGCGGAGATTATTTATAGTGGAGATTACGTTGAGGGCAGTACAGTACTTGAGAGTCGGTGGTCCATGCGTCTTCCATTGCCTCGTTGGTGATGGCCTAAAGCCACCGAAGGCAATTCTCAATCGGTCAAATGGGTGTCTTAAGCTCACTCCTGCCCTGCCCTGCCCGTGGGACCTGCCAATGCCGTGCACGCCGTCCGGCAGGTGGTGTTCACGCACACGTTCGCCCCCTTCGCGTCCTTCGACACGAGCCGCATGACTATCGACCGGGAGCACGGCATCTGCTTCGACTGCGAGGGCACGCGCGACAAGTACAGGTCGGTGCCAAAAACTGCAGCTTGTGTACAATATTCTCCGGCACGTGTCGTGACGGAGGGGGGAGAGGGGGGGGGGTACCGCAAGATCTGACCGTGTCTGTCTGGTGCTCGCCAAGCTGCATTGGCGTCAGGTTGCCGAACGAATACATTTAAGGTCGCACTCATTACACACACAAAGTTATTTCCACAAATGAACCACAATAACTTGCTGATCTCGTCAAGGAGCATAAACCCTCACGCGAACTCCGGTCATCTTCGCAGTGGCTTTTGGCTGGCCATCGAACAAAGACGATCACCGCATCGCGCGCTTTCCAGATGTGCTTCTGCATTTGTCTAGAATGCTCTTCCGATATTAGGAAGCCACTGCAGATATGCACTTTTAAATCTAGGTTGAAAACTCATTTCTTTATAACTGCTTTTTTGTGTTTAGTTTGCTGTTCTTCCCCCACACCTCCGATTCGCACGGTTGCCTACATACTGTGTGAAAGAAGTTCAACGTACACCGTTGGCGGGTTGCGGCTCTTACCTCTCCCTAGTCGGTCCCCAGCCCCCCGCCCGGCTCCCGCAGACCTTGTCCATCTTGGAACTCATCAGCGCCGCACCTCGTAGGGGCGTTCGCACCGCCGACCTCGCTGATGCTTGCCACGAGTGACGCCGTTGGTGGGCTTTTTGTTGTTATTTTGTTTAGTAGTGTTTTTAAGTCACAGTTGCCGAGCAGCGCGAGAGAAGAAGCGGAAAAGAGAAGCGTTGTGACCTGCCGCAAGTGTGGTGCTGGTAGAACGCAGTATGGTTGAGACTAAACAGTCAAGTCAACATGGGTGGAGGAGTTGATGGTGAAGTTCATGGGAACAGTAACCGGGCAATTTTAATCACTTTCGGGGCTCGCGTGTTACCACGGATAACGCAGTTACACCACTGGCAGCAAGACTGCACAATGGAGATTTGGGGGGGGGGGGGGAGTAAAAAGACAAAACAGATATTTTGTCCTGACCCGTCACATCACCGCCCGGTTTCCGTCACGTGCAGGAAGCTGCTGCTGCACGCTTGCCCGCGCTGCCCCGCGCTGCCGCCATTCTCCACACTGCAGGAGCTGCAGAAGCACATGAAGCAGCAGCACGAGCGCTTCCCGTGCGACCTCTGCCTGCGCCACCTCAAGGTGAGTGGAGACGTACATTGCGGTGCGACGTGGATTGCTCCCAAGGAGAGAGAGAGCGAGAGATGGAGGGCGTTCTCTTCACGATTGGTGTTCACTTCAGGTGATTCATCTGTCAGTTCACGCAAGCTTTCCTATACTCTGTACTCCATCAGGTTTTGTTTGTTGTTGCAACTTTCTGACTCGCCCCGACTGGACATCTGTGAAAAAGAGCTTCATAGCTCATCAGATACTTCCACTCTAAATAAAGATTCCGATTCTATGTGTATCTGCTTGTGCATGTATGTCTTTCTCTTTATTGCGTCTGCATGCTAATTACCATAAAGCTGTGAGCTAATCGTTGTTACCTTACAACTTCCGTCCCAACAGTCTGTTCATGGCTACAAGGAGGGGGGCAGGGGGGGAATCTTCCGTTTGTGTGTGTACATATGTATCACACATTACAATTCAATTTCAAACAGGAGATCTTGTTCATGCGTTTGTGCATTTGTGCGCTTGCGTGCGTGCGTGCTGCTCAGATCTTCTCAAGGGAGCGGCGCTGGTACACACGGAAGGAGTTGGCGCATCACCGGC